AAGGTAACTTACCATCCTCGAGTACCTGGCTTCGCCGATGAGATAAGAGTCTTGAATCACAAGTTTTGAGATTAAACAGGTTTAACGTGAGCGTCAGTATTTCAAACGAATTAATCTGATTTAAAAAAAATTGGATCATTTAGAAAAGATGAATGACTGAATCAAAGCAACGTTTATCATGAAGCACTTTTTTCTTCATTTACTGGTCTCGATATTGTTCAATTAATGCAAAATAAACCGATAATACTTTAACCTTTTTCAAATTAATCAAAATGCTCTTTCATTCAGCAAACTCAAATCCATATTAAACTGCAAAATTAACATGATACATTGTGAGATGCCAAGTTGCCTTAATACGGGCAAAGATTTGAAGTAATAATTATTTGGCCATTTGTTAGGCTCATCAAATTGGCAACATCAACAGTCATTAATTGTAAATAAAGTATAACAATAATGAGACGTTATTAGTCGGGAACAATAATTAGTTGTAAATTGAGTATAATCAATTCAAGAGTCAACCCATCATCAATGTTAATTACCTTGTTAAGGTTTATTCAAATGAAGCCTAGTTTTTCCTCGTATTTCTTTTCATGTTGCATCTTGATTCTTTTAAATTGTTTTCCAGTCTAATTGATTACATTATACATTAAGCAAGGTTAATAATTTAACATAAAACTCTCATCATGTAATTATGGAATCACTAATCTCTATTATTATCATGAACCAATGAGGATGAACTGATGGAAACAAAAAAAAGGCGAAGAAAAAACGTTTTCAAATCCACAAAACTTAAACAAAATAGTTTACCATTAATTTACCAAATGAGAAGACAATTTGAATGAACAAATTGAAATACATTAGCTGATCGAGGTAAACAGTTGATCGAACCCAATGTGAATGTGAATCAATCAGTCTTTGTACAAGTTGAACCAATCTCAATGTTTCAATTGATTTGGTGAAACGAACAAAAAAAACATGATTCATTCCAACAATGAGAAACACTTTTGTCTTCAAACCTTTTTGCACCTGTAACACATTGAACACAGCAAACAAAAACAAGATTCAAAAGCCTTTTCATGATAAACAAAACTGGAAAAACATTTGTCTTCATTGTTGCTCGATAATCGAGGTTAGATTAAAGCAAAATGTTCATGTTGCTCTGGTCATTGTTTAACCCATTAACGTAATGGATAACAGATACGGAGATTAACCAAGTCAACTGGGAGTGAATTGATAATTGCTTGTTATGTGAAACAAGAATGGTTGACATTTCAAAACTTGCCAAGTTTCATTTTTGGTTAAAAAATCAGAACTTTTCTTTTCTTTTTATATTCAAATTTGAGCTCGAGTTCATCAAGCCTTTTCTAGTTCAAATTTCAATGAAATTGAAAACAGATTGAAAATTCAATCTTGAAATAGGCATAGAAATAGATTATGGCAAAGAATAGCAATATTTCAATCATGGTAATTTGAATCATTGAAAGAGCAAAAGTTCTAAACATTTCTTTTGTTCAACCAACACACAAAAATTAAGCTTTTCAACTTTTCCTTTTCGTTGATTGACTAAAGTTTCACCAAATTAATTTATTATTTCGAAACTATTTTCAGTTTTCATTTCAAAATATTTCAGTTAAGTCAATGAAATCTGATCAACAAAAGTTTTTCAACTTTGATTGAAATGATAATCTTGCAAAATGATTCCAAAAGTGGACAGAAAATGAAAATTTTGAAACTCTGAAAAGGTGATGAAACTCGAAGCAACACGATCCGTCAAAGGTGTTCTTGAAACGCTCTTGACTTTAATCAAAACAGTTACTTGTATTCAGTTGATAGTTGCCTGTTAATCTGGTTAAAGTTTTCATTTTCTG